GCATTCCACATAGTCCCCCAAGCACTGTGAGGGGGTAATTCCTGAGTGTAGAGCCAGGAGTAACCCCTGAACATCGCCAGGTATAACCCAAAACAGAAAAAGAATAAACAACAGCATAAGCAAAAAATATGGCTAATGCAGTGAAGAAGACCCAAAAATTTGGTGTTAATTTAATCAGAGTTAAGTACGGTAAACATCCCGTGATATTCCTTTGTGTCCTCTCCTCTCTCTGTGTCTGTTCTCTTTGACGAGTTGAGACCCTCATATGTGCATGAACAGACCAGTGCATGCTGAACAACCACCTCATTTTCAGTGATCAGCCTCTTCTTCAGTGATAAACCTCATCTTCAGTACCGTCCCATGGTTCCCCCCACCTCGCTGAGCTCAGCTCCACACTCGTGGCCGCCCTCAGCCACCTGCCACATGACTCACAGCTGCTCACCTGCATAAATAATGCAGCGAGAAACATCTTTTCGGGCAAGAGGCTTGCTCACATGGTAGCGGATGTCTCGATGAGAGATTCCTAGAAGTCTCTTCTGACTTTGGGAGATGCAGTATAGAAAGAGGCTGTCGACACCCATCTGTGAAGTGTGGGCATAGTGAAAGGGGGCTGGATGGCGGTGGTGGGCCACAAGGTCAGTGGTGTTCCTGTTCCATGCCCACCCCTCGGCCCGTCATGCTGTGGGGTGGAGTGGAAGCCTCAGTCAAGGGGGACGCACATGTGGCATGCAACCACAACTAGCCAACTTAGCATCAAGGAGGCGATCCTGTCATCCCAGCCTGAGCAGCCATGCCTGAATTTGGGGTGCGGAGAGTTTTTGTGTGTTCACGCTGCATTTATGGGAGTGGTGGGCACTAGCTCTCATCAGCACCTGCTTGGGTAGAGAACGGCCAAGGAGAAGCCATATGCAGGGGTTAGGGGCAAGGAGTATATTCTTGATTTCTATTTTTTCTCATTATTTAATTTTACAGTTTGAACATAGCTTTTTAATCTTAGAAGAGGGCAAAAGTAAGATGGACTATATTTCTTGTGGCTTTCATATGACGAAGGGGTGTACTAAGAAGTTAGGGGTTTGGGCTGGAGCGATAGCACAGCAGGTAGGGCATTTGCCATGCACACAGCCAACCCAGGTTCGATTCCCAGCATTCCATATGGTCCCCTGAGCACTGCCAGGAGTAGTTCCTGAGTGCAGAGCCAGGAGTAACCCCTGTGCATCGCTAGGTATGACCCAAAAAGCAAAAAGGAAAAAAAAAGAAAAAAAGAAGTTAGGGGTTCTGGTTTGGGGGACCTGGGGTAGGGCATGGGAAAGGCCAGGAGGTGCAAGAGACATTGGGGCAGCATTGTCGCCTGTCCCGGCAGCGACATGCCATCTGCTTGCTGACAGACCTGCCATGCAGTGTGAACAAGCATGCCCCAAGCCCAGGGCCCTCGGAATTGGTGCATCAGAATGTGGCATCACACAGGAGCGTGGGACCCTGGGTAACATGAGCCAGAGCCAACAGCCAACAGGCTGCCCGGTGTTAAGGGGACTCCTGACAGCTCTGCAAAGCCAGTCCAGCTCAGCCAGTGGGTAAAGGCCAGGAGAATGGTCATTGCTTGGACTCTGGGCTGCCCCCTCGGCGCCAGGATTAGACACAGTGAAGTGGGCGGCCCTCTGCTTTAGTTTTGTGTTGCTGGTGCTGTTCCAATTCATGCAGGCCAGATCTGTTGTTTGTCTCACATGTCCAGTCGGAGAGCCCCCCCCCCCCCCATGTCCCCACTAGACCAACACCTCTGACATCTGAATTTCCACCAAACTGCTGTGAGTTTGATTCATGAGCTTCATCAGGCTGAGTGCCCACAGCCAGCACCACAGGGAGGGGGTGTACGAGTCCTCACCCTATTTCCCCATGGCATGGACCAGCTCTGAGGCAGGAACAACCAGGTGTCAGAGAGGGGGTGTCGCAGAGAACAGCCCCAGTGGGCCAGTGCCTGGACTGAGACGTGCCCAGATCCTTTCATCCGGCCTGCTAGCAAACCCCAGCCTTTCTTCACTTTTTTTTTTAAATGTATTTTTAAAAATTCTATTTAATTTGAAAAGGGGCTGGAGCGATAGCACAGCAGTAGGGCATTTGCCTTGCAAGCAGCCGGTCAGCCGAGCCGGGTTGGATTCCTCTGCCCCTCTCGGAGAGCCAGGCAAGCTCCCAAGATATCTCACCCACACGACAAAGCCTGGCAAGCTCCCCGTGATGTATTCAATATGCCAAACACAGTAACAACAAGTCTCATAATGGAGACATTACTGGGCCCTCTTGAGCAAATCGATGAACAATGGGAGGACAGTGCTACAGTGCTATTTAATTTGAAAAAAGAAAATACAGCGGTTGATAGGCAAGACCACATTCTCTGAAATCGGATAAGCTTAGGTCATAGCTTTTCAATTCTTTCACAGTGGGAAGGTCTCCCTTTCTTCACTTTTATTTTTTTCACATTCCGCTTGGCCATTTCTCCGCATCCATCTGAGTGGCTTTTCTGCCCAGATGCTTGGCTTCTGTAGAAGAAACCCCTCTTACCTCCTGGTCTCTCCTTTCCTCTGAGCTTTTGTTTCCTCCAGACCCAGCACTTTGTAGACTCCTAGAGGGCTGTGTCTCCTGTAATTGATGCGCCTGTTATAGTCATCAAATAAGCCTGATTCTTATTTGGCCTCACTCCATTGGCCAGAGGCACCAACTTTAGCAGGAGACAGAGGCAGGTGGCAGGATGGGGGGGCGCGGGGGGCGGCGGGATGAGGGAACTGGCCCTCCATACCCCTTCAGATTCAGGGAATTATCTCCTCTTCCTGTAAAGACCGAGACAACTTTAAACAGGTCTGTGTCCACTGCCAGCTCCAATCCATAAAGCAAAATAAACAACCGAGATCACACGCAAAATACCTTTGAGGAGGTTGGAAGGTAGATCGCTAAAAGCTTCAGGTTTTCGATGAAGAAATTCATCCTCGTTCTTTTGTTTGTTTATGTATTTATTTTTTGCGCCACTCTCAGAGGTGCTCAGAGCTTCCTCCTGGCTCTGTGCTCAGGGATAGTCCTGATGGGATCCAGGGACCATATGTGGTGCTGGGATCGAACCCAGGTCAGCTGTGTGCAAGGCAAGCGCCTTATCCCCCGTGCTGTCTCTCCAGCCCCTCTTCCTCATTTTATTTATTTATTCTATATTTATTTATTGATTGATTTTTGGGTCATACCCGGCAATGCACAGGGATTACTTCTGGCTTTGCACTCAGGAATTACTCCTGGTGGTGCTTGGGGGACCATATGGGATGCTGGGAACTGAACTCTGGTCACCCACATGCAAGGCAAATGCCCTACCCGCTGTGGTATCGCTCCAGCCCTCTCTTCCTCATTTTAAATCCCACTCCCCGCATCTGTGATTGAAGCTCATGCTATTAGGTTCTGTTCAGACGGAGATACTGTTCTCTTCTCCACTTACGGTATTTTAAATAGTGCATTTTAAAGAACTGTACTTTAAAATAAAAATTCACATGTAATATTTTAAGGTAAAGGTAAAGGCCCTCCCGTTGATCGTCGATTTGCTCGAGCGGGCCCAGTAACGTCTCCATTGGAGACTTTGTTGTTACTGTGTCTGGCATATCGAATACTCTCGGTAGCTTGCCGGGCTCTCCGAGAGGGGCGGAGGAATCGAACTCGGGTCGGCCATGTTGGCCGCTTGTAAGGCGAATGCCCTACCGCTGTGCTATCGTAATATTTTAAAATAAAATTAATATGCAAAAAGAGATGGAACCTCGAGCCTTATGCGTGCATGTTCTACTACTGGGCTTCATCTGCAGTCTCAGAACTTTCATGTTTTTATAAGTTATATATCTGTATATAAAGGATCCTAGGGCTGGAAAGATAGTATAGCAGGTAGGACGCTTGCCTTGCATGCAGCCAACCCAGGTTCAATCCCCAGCACCCCATCTCATCCCCTGAACACTTCCAGGAGTGACCCCTGAGTGTGGAGCCAGAAGTAACACCTGAGCATCACCAGGTGTGGCCCCCAAACAAAGAAATCCAAACAAATATTAAATGATCCAGATAAATAAACATTAAATGAAGCATGATATATGCTACTGGCAACTATTTCTAAGTATTTTTATTTTCTTTTTTGGTTTGGGGGCCACACCCAGCAGTGCCAAGGACTTCCTCCTGGCTCTGTGCTCAGGGTTCATTCCCCGTGAACCCAGGTGGGCTGTGTGCAATACAAGTGCCCCAATGGTTGTGCTTTGTTGAGGACCCCTATTTCTAAGTATTTTTTAAATATGAAGCATATTTTGGCTTGATACAGAAATTAAACAGCTTAACTCTATAGTATTTGCTCGAGCAGGCCCAGTAACGTCCCCATTGGAGACTTTGTTGTTACTGTGTCTGGCATATCGAATACATCACGGGGAGCTTGCCAGGCTCTGCCATGTGGGCGAGATACTCTCAGTAGCTTGCTGGGCTCTCCGAGAGGGGCGGAGGAATCGAACTCGGGTCGGCCATGTTGGCTGCGTGCAAGGCAGACGCCCTACCCGCTGTGCTATCGCAAGCTACTGAGAGTATTCGATATGCCAGACACAGTAACAACAAAGTCTCCAATGGAGACATTACTGGGCCCGCTCGAGCAAATCGATGATCAACGGGAGGGCCTTTACTTTACTTTACTTTAACTCTATAGTATTGAAACCTTTTGAATCGATGGTTTTGGATATCTCAAAGATACAAACTACTTATATTTTTTGAATTTTTTTGTTGTTATTGGGGAGTGGGGCATGGTACCCATATGGCACCCATATGGCACTCCCGGCTTTGTGCTCGAGAAACCATATGGGTGCCCAGGATCAATCCTGGTATGTGCAAGGCACGTGCCCCACCCTCTGCACTATCCCTGAGCTGTGATGCGGTTCAGTGACCGCCCGGGCCCCCACAGCGCCCTCTGTCGCCCGCCCTGCGCCCTGACCTTTGTCTCTGCTCTCCCACCGCAGGCATCGGCAAGAACGTCATCTGCGACCGCACGGCCACGCCGCTGGACGCCTTCCGCATGATGTCGGCGGCCCACTACTACCCCAAGCTCATGAGCATCATGGGCAACGTCCTGCGCTTCCTGCCCGCCTTCGTGCGCATGAAGCAGCTCATCGAGGAGGGCTACGTGGGCGAGCTGCTGGTGTGTGAGGTGCAGGTGCACAGCGGCAGCCTGCTGGGCAAGAAGTACAACTGGAGCTGCGATGACCTCATGGGCGGCGGCGGGCTGCACTCGGTGGGCACCTACATCATCGACCTGCTCACCTTCCTCACGGGCCAGAAGGCCGTCAAGGTGCACGGGCTGCTCAAGACCTTCGTCAAGCAGACGGACCACATCAAGGGCATCCGCCAGATCACCAGCGACGACTTCTGCACCTTCCAGATGGTGCTGGAGGCCGGCGTGTGCTGCACCGTCACCCTCAACTTCAACGTGCCGGGGGACTTCAAGCAGGATGTGACGGTGGTGGGCTCGGCCGGCCGCCTCTTGGTGCTGGGCACCGACCTATACGGGCAGCGCAACAGCGAGGCCGAGCGGGAGCTGCTGCTCCAGGATGCCACGCCCGTGAGCAACTCACTGCTGCCCGCCAAGGCCTTCAGTGACATCCCGGCACCCTACCTACGTGGCACCATCAAGATGATGCAGGCCGTGCGCCAGGCCTTCCAGGACCAGGACGACCGGCGCACCTGGGATGGACGGCCGCTCACCATGGCCGCCACCTTCGACGACTGCCTCTACGCCCTGTGCGTGGTGGACACCATCAAGCGGTCCAGCCAGACGGGCGAGTGGCAGAACATCGCCGTCATGACTGAGGAGCCCGAGCTGAGCCCCGCCTACCTGATCAGCGAGGCCATGCGGCGCAGCCGGATGTCCCTGTACTGTTAGCGCTGGCCGCGGGGACCGTGGGCATCCTGGGCCTTCTACGTGTGGCCGCCGAGATGAGCAGCGGGAGGGGGATGGAGGAGGAGGGGGGGTGCCATGGAGGGGCACCGTGAGGTGATGGCATCTGGCCAGGTGCACCCCAGCCTCAGAGAAGCGCACCCCCTGAGCTTATGGTCTGGGAGCATTGACCCCCTGCGGGGCGTCTGTAGGACAGGGGGGGGACTGGGTTGTCTCCCCTCCCCCCGTTATTGAGGATCCAGGACTGATGACGTTCGGTCCAGCCCATCCCGCTGTGGCCCTAGGTGCCCAGGTTGGCGAGGTCTCTGCTGGCACACATCTGGTGGCAGGGCTTCAAGCAAGACACGGGATGCTGGCAGGAGAAGGTGCGGGATAGTTCGGGAATGGGAGCCGGGGGGGAGGGGAGGTCATAAATGGGAAAGTTGAAATTGCAGGAAGCCACAGGAGTGGCGGAAGGAAAAGGTACTTGGGCGCAGAGAGTGTGCGGCTGCCTCCACTGACAGCTCTTCCTCCTAGGAGCGTGCAGTCTTCTGAGTCTTGTGTTGCCCATGGCTGTGTTGCCCGGCAGCTGGCCCCTCGGTGGGTGTGCCAGGAGGAGTGGTCTCAGAGAAGAGTCCTTAGCTTAGTTCAGGAGCCCAGGGGCATGCCTGGAGGGCACACCGACAGGTAGAGAAGCAAATCTCTCCATTTGTCAGCGGTTCTGGTGTGAAAGGGATGCGGTTCTGCGGGGAGGTGGTCCTTTCCCGGCTCTGCGGGCAGGGCCAAGGATGCTTGTGGGGAGGTCTGGATTTGCCCACAAGCTCCGAAGCTGCCCTGGACTGCTGGGGCCCAAGACAGACAAGCATGGCAGTGGGCAGTGCCCACAAGGGAAAGTGAGTCAGCCTGTGCTCACTGTGTCTCCCTCACCCTGTCTCCAAGCTGACTGGGCAGGGCTGTCTCAAGTGTTCCCCCCCACATACACACACTTCCCTTCCCCCACCCCAAGCATCACGCGTTCCCCCCACACACACTTCCCTCTGGAGAAGTTGGGGCCGTTTCTTTAGCACTGACCTTTGCATTCACCTAGACAGTTTGACTAGGCATTCAAGCAGAAGAACAAAGAAAGAATAAGGAGCATCATGTTCAGTGTTTCTAAAATAGGGGTTCAGAGCCCTGGGAGGTGTTTACGTCTCCTGGGTCGACATAGGTGTGAATGCAGGAACATGTACGTATCCCTCCTGTCTCCCAGGTTTCCCATCTCTTGTCTTGTGGCTCTCTGCTTACCCGTCTTCATTGTGGATTGCAGATACTCAGCGGCCTTCCTAAGTCAAGATGCCAATCGACTCTCTCTACCTCCCTCTGTCTGTCTGTCTGTCTGTCTGTCTGTCTATCTCTCTCTCTCTCTCTCCTTCCTTCCCTCTCTGTGTCTCTTTGTGTCTCTGTCTCTGTTCTCTGTCTCTGTCTCTCTATCTCTGTCTCTCTCTCTCACACACACACATTTCTAAGTGACAGATGTCAGGGCTGGTCTTGAGAGACGGACCCCACCACTTTTGAAATCTGGGAGTCCATCCTTTGGCTAACTGGGCTTCATCTCTCCCCCAGAGAGGTTGGACATGGCGTCCCTACGTGGCTGTCTTTGGCACATGGCTGAGCTTTGGACTTGTGATAACTAGCAGGGAACATAAGGGCCACCCTCAGGAACTGTGTGAGTGGAACCTCCAAAGAAAGGCTCAATCAGTTGCTCCCCACATTCTCCTCCAGGGTCCATGCTGAGCTCAGACCGTGCCCTGGGAAGTGTGTGGGGGGGGCGGGGGGGCTCGGGAATCCCAAACACCACAAGAAGGATGACCATTTGCTAGCACTGAAGAGAAATGCTTCTCTCGCCAGTTCCCCTGCTTTCCTGGCCTGCTCCAGATGGGAAGATTGAACAGCAGAAACTCCTGTCACCGAGGACTCAAGGGTGACAGGCTGCAAAGAGCTTCCACAGTTCCCGGTTCCAACGTGGGAGATTTGGGAGTGGAAAGACCACCCCGCCCTAGGATATTCTGGCTCAGCTGCTTCGAAATTGCTTTAGAATGGAGAGGATTTGTTTTTCTTGTTCTCCTGACAGGCAGTGATTGAGGATGAAGGTAGCGAGAGTGGAGAACTCTCTAGGTCCTGTTGTTGTTCTTTTTATCTAAGTGGCTTATTATCTGGGCAGTGTCATGCCCGGGGTTTCACCTTCACACTGCTGAGCTGACAGAGATGCTTGGGAAGTTGTTCTCCACCCCGCCCAGGCTTCTGTGATCTAGGATAAATATTGTCTCCAGCAGAAATTCTCACTGCACCACTGGGGTACCTCGTTCTTTTTTTTCAAGATGTTCTTTTTTTAATCGCATGAAGAATAATTTAGTAAGTGCACTCAGGTTCTGTCTACTGAATGCATGGAGTAGATAGATCAAAGAATGAGAGGGAGGGAGAAAAAAAAAAGCCCTGCAGAGCCCCTTTGTTAATGCAGAAATGAAAGGAAGATGCGCTGTTGCTTTAATGTTCTTTGGCTCCGACCTGCACCAGCATTAAGAAGCAAAGCCAATCCCCGCACCCAGCTCTCAGCTCTCTGCTGCCTCTGACCTGGGCCCAGCCACCAGCCTGCCACCCCTTTTGCTCTGCTTTGCGTGTCCCGAGGACCTGGGGTCTTGGAGTGAAGGTCTGCGTTAGTCCCCACCTCGACTGATTTCTTCCTCTTATTGTGTCCAGACCCAACCAGAAATTCTGGCTGTTGTGATTGGTGTGGGCCCCCAAACCTGTCCTTAGTTCCACATTCTCAGAGAAGGGATCACGAGTCGATGTGAGCACTCTGGGCTCCAAAGCTTGGCTTCTCTGAGCTTTGTTTCTGGAGCGTGACCTGGTGGGTACCCAGTGTCTCCAGGCTCTAGGGGAAATACCCAGGCCAGTGGCACAGGTGCCCTCAGCTCACGGGATGGCGCTCTCCTCTGTGGCGGGGGAGTTTGCGCCTGCCAGGGGCCATCATTTGACTCATTTTTCTCCAGATGAGTCTCTCCCAGACCCGAACCCATTTCCCATCCCCCGGGCCAGCACCAGGTGAGGTTTCCATTCCAGATGGGCTCTTTGAAGCTCAGCATCCCACGGAACCCACTGAGCCACCCAGCAGTGTGAATCCTTAAAAAAAAAAAAAATCGAGTGTCTTCCCCAAACTACAAAACAGAAGAGAACTTGGGAGGTGGAGAAGAGAGAGGGCTGGTGTGCCTGTGTTGTGTGTTGAACCCCAGTTTCCCGTGGTCCCCCAATTACCGCTGGGAGTGAGCAACAAGCTGGGAGCACTTCCTGAGCACCAATGGGTGCACACACATACCCCAAACAAAAGCAAACAAACAAGGCTGAAAATTGAGCTTCCTGAGAAAGGGCTGCTTGGCCCAAGCCTGTGAAACCAAGCAGGCTCACCTACGTCCTACCACCCAGTCCCGCCGGATGGCTTGGTGGGTTCAGCCCACCTACGACCGAGCCATTTTTCCTCCTACCCACACTGCCTCCCAAGAAGAAAGGTCTGTGCTCCTGACTGTGCCGGGCAGGAGAGCCCCCCATGGGTGCTGTCAGGGCCGAGGGTCAGCTGTGGGCACTGCGGGTCCCCACTGCTGCCACCCCATCCCTTGGAGCAGGCGACCACAGCACGGCTTCTTCTTGACGGGAGTCAGGAGCTACAAATAGGAATCCTGGAATTTTCTGTCCCTTCCAACAGGGAAATATCACTCAGCGTCTCTTCAAGTCCCCTTCCTGCAGGGACCGTGACGGGAGGGGAAGTAGCAGGCCTCCAAGTTGGGGGTTTCCATATAAGGACACGGTGCTGCTCTTAGCATTGCTTTGCTGGTAGAGTGTAGGGACGCAGGAAGTGCTCTTTCTGGGGAAGGGGCTTCTCCTGTGTGTTTGCTGGTGATGGGAATTTTCCTTCTGTTTCTTTTTGTCGTCGTTTTCTGTTTTCTTTTTTTTTTTTTAATGGGGGCACCATACCCAGCGCTGGTCAGAGCTTCCTCTTGGCTCTGTGCTCAGGGATCACTCTTGGTAGGGCTTGGGGGACCATATAGAGGGTGTCAGGGATTGAACCCCAACTTGATTGTCTGCAGGGCAAGTGCCCTTCCCACTGAGCTATATTTCCAGCTATATGGTGATGGGGGTTTTCATGGATGGGGGCAATTATTCCGCATTGTGAATGATATTCCAGACGCGTGGAAGGAGACTTGAGTCCAGTCTCTTTGGTCCTTTTCTGTCATGTCAGAGTGATGGCCAAGTCATGGTCCTTTGCAGTCAGGTCCACTAAAACATCCAAGTTCTGACCCCCCCCCCCAACACCATCCGTACTCCCCATGGCCCTGGGAGCACTCAGACAGGAAGAAGGAGGGGTGAGAGGCGGGGGCATTTGACCACACCCTGACTCTGGGCACAGCAGGAGCAGGAACAGTCGTTAGAGCTCAGATGTAAGGCATGAGCGGGGTGCTCTTTGGGGATGCCGCAGGACACCCCCTCTCTCCACCCCAGCTTCCCAGATGGGCCTCCCACTCACCCCTTCCTGCCTGTTCTGCCAGCAAGTCCTGAGGTTCACAGGCAGAGACCCTGATATGAGGGAGCCGTTTAAAGAACCCTAGTTCCCAGGGCGCCTGCTTTTTGCTTCCGAAGCAGGGCAGAGAAGAAAGGATGAAAAGTGTGAGGGTGTTGTCTGACCCCCATCATTGGTGGCAGGCATGCCAGGGCCCCATGCTGGACAGGCATGTGGGTGAGGGCCGTGCTCCCAACTACAGATCAGAACCACGGGACCACGGAGACCGGCTTCCTGTATTTACAACGACCAGGAAGACGCCCTGGGCTTCTGGAAGAGTCTCAGGCTTCCCCATGGTCTGCATTGGCTGATGGGGGATGGCGGGGCAAGCACATCTGGGACGGGTCCTTCCCCTCATCGCGGTCCCCCAGTGCAGGAGCCCACACAGGGTCACCGCGGGCAGCCCGTGGCTCCCAGCCAGCCCACGTGCATGCTGTGCTCCCATCAGCCAGTGCTG